GCTGCAACACAGGAGGGAAGGGGGGCAGGCACTTAAAGCTACCAAATTCATTGCATTACTAATAATCTAAATTGGGTGACTCAGATTATCGTCGTGATTGGCCTAAGGGTAAGTGCTTGATGCATCTCTGAAGCATTAATTAGGCCAAAAATAAAAGGTAGTTCTTAGATCCATATGTAAGGCCAATGGGTGCCAATGCATGAAACTAAGTACTAACAATTTAAATGTTCGTGTCCTCCCCAGCTGCACAGGCACACAGGGCAGGCAGAGCTCACCTCTACCCAGCCTGGCTCTTGTGGGAGACACTTAAGAGAGATCAATCCTTGTCCAGACCAAGAATCCGGGTGACAAAACGCTCTTTGCTCTGCGGTTTTACCATTTCCAAAGGAGCCCCCGCCCCACCTAACCACACCACATCGACTCTCCCATTGCACCTCAGTCATAAAGGTGATGGGCAACCCTCCTGAAAAGGGGGCTTTATCCAGAAGGGAGCTCGGGAAGGAATTATTCTTGACTGTGCGAAAGGGAGAAGGCACAACTGGCCCCGGAGATGAACTTGATCTGTTCTTTGGAGGGCTTCACGGCGCAGCGTTCTCCACCCCTCCCCAAGCCCCAGAGCAGGGCGCAGAGTTGCACATACACCCGGGCACGCATGCGCGCACACACACGCACACACTGCTTTATTAGATATTTTTTTTTTCTTAGCAAAAAAATAAAAATTTATTGTCCTCTAAAAAAAAAAAAAAAAAAATCCATCCTGCCCTTGGAAACTGTGACACAGATTGAGTTCTTTCCAGCCCCACATGCAAATTCACTCTGCCAAGAAAAGAGTCTAAACCAGGTTTCCGACAGCCAAAACACATATTTACAGAGTACGAGAGAACGACAGCTGAAATCACAGTTCTATACATGGAATCAACAACACGTTTTACACACCACCGATCACCATTCTGCCAACTTCTACACAGACTAGGGGCGCTTCTGCCCAGTGCCCTTCCTCCTGGGGAAAGCGGGGAAGAGACTGGTCAAGAATTGCCACCAGAAATACTGCAGTGTGTATTATTATTATTTTTTTTTTAAACGTATACTGTATTTATTTTGTTTTAACATTGGAAGCTACGGAGCGGGGAAGCCCCGGAAATCTCTCCGCTGCAGTCACTAGTTTGCAGGAATACTTCACCTTTAAAATACTAGGTTTTACATCAGTAACATCTATTTTGCTGTTGGCCATCACTCCAAGGATTATTATAATTCTGGAGGAAAACACTGGTAATATTCTTCCTTCTCAGATGGGGGAAAAGGAGAAACAGAGGAGGTTCGGAGGCTGGTGGAACAGCAATGAATTACCGAGTCCATTCAGCGTTACGGGCTTCCTCACAGGGGAAGGACTTTCTTCATTGTCTCAGCTGCACAAGCCTTGCAAGTGGCTCAGGTTCAGCTTCGGAGATGTACGGGAAGTATAAAACCCTTCGGCGGGGGATCGGCTGCAGTGACCCCCTTCGAGGGGGGGGAAGCGGCTTAAGGAAAACGCTGTGCTCCACCTCTGAGACTTTCCCCCAGTCCCTCCCGCACCACTGAGTCTTCGCCACTGTTGGCATGTGGCTACACCATCTAAGGCCAGAGACGATCTAAAAGTGGTCCTGCTAGCCCAAAGCGATGCCAAAATTCTTCAGCTCCTGGCTATCGTCTACAGCTCTAGCCTTGCTTTTTGATATCTATCTACCCAGGAGAGTGTTGTCTTAAGCCCTCTGCTTCTATATTGTTTTTTCCATAATAATGTAAAAGTTTATTGACCTTTAAGATACCGTGGTTTCAAACCACGATTAAGACTCCCCTCCCCCAGCTCTTCGCTCAGAAGTGTCCGACCCGCACACTCGGGCACCCAGGCCAACACTTCCAAAGCTCCCCAAAACTGCGGGGAGGAAAATGTCACTATCCAAGAAGGAGTCTGGTGTGAAGAGGCAGGACCCAGGCGTGTTCACGGCTGTTCAGCCAGCTGGGCTGCTCGTCAAGAAGCTTTGTGGACCAAAACTTCGTTTTGAAGCGCGACTCGGCCAAAAAAAAAGCCCCTTTAGTTCTGATGTGTTACTGCGTGTCCTGTAAAAGGGAGTTCCTGCTTCAGAAGGAAGCCTGACAGTACATCACAGGGGCTGTACTTATTAGCACCAGATTTATTTCAACAAGACTCTTTTTACACCGTACAGAAGCTGACCACAGACTCTTAAGCCTTTAACGCAGTGCTGCGATTACGGTTCATCCTTCCCGCCGGGGGCAGGCAGGAACAACTGCTGGAGTGGGTCAGAAACGCTGCCCTTTGCCCCTGCTCTCACCTCACTCGGTTATAAAATTGTCAGACAAGTGGCCCCCCAAAATATTCACAAAATACAGAAAGATGAAGTTCTCTCTTCCATCTGATACTTAAGAAAGTAATTCACATTTCAGATATATTTCTTTTTTTTAAAGCAGCAAACAAATTCATAGAAACCTAAATTTAATAAGTGTTTCTTAAAGAACCAGAGGAAAGCGAGAAACAGTCTATGTGCTTGTGCAAAGAGAGTGCTGAGATACGCTGGGACAGGGGCAAGGGAAGGGGCTAGTGCTAATTCCTTCAGGCTGTTCTGCCATGAGTGCAGTGTGGCAATGGAAAGTTAAAATTTAAGGGCCACAAATAGGTGAAGTTTTGAATTCTTTGGTCCTTCAGTATAAGTTATAAAACAGAGAAACTGTTTTACTCAAAAGGGAAAAACAGGCTTTCTCTGGCCTGGAATTTTCCTTGTACCCCCCTGCCTAAGCAATGTGGCCCCAGGGAAACTGGGAGCAAACATCTCTTCGCCCTCGCCCCAACAGCCCTGCATGACACGGTGACTGGAACCCCAGTGAGACAGCCAGAGCTGTCACCAGCGGACAAGTTTCATCTGAAGAGAAGGGACAAAGCGAAGAGCCCCTGCGGGCATCAGATGCAGTCACGCAGCCGCAGCCGGCCAGGTCTGAAGAAAAGAGGGTTGGCCCAAGGCAGCATCACCCTGAACCGTCCCCCAGGGGGGCAGGAGAGCAGACAAACCACCACGCTCATAAAAAGTCAGTGTTACAAACCCACAGCCAAAACCGGCTGATCAGCTCTGGTTCTTATAAATATTAAAGACCTGATTCAAGACTTTATTTCCTAAGATTTAAGTTAGTTACAAAAATTTTTTAGTAAATTTTTATCTTAATTGGGCATTTTCCTCCTCCTCCCACTTTTTTCTTTTTTTTTTTTTTTCCTAAAAAAGAAACGTTCATGTGTTTTAATAAAAGGTCTCTCCTTAAGATCAGACCAAGGCAGATGTGCTGCCCCATGGCACAGACATTCAAAGGCTATAACCAAACAACATAGCCACACTAGTCACTCAACAGTGTCTCTCCATAAAAAAAAAATTTAAAAAAAACCTGATGCTAGTTACAATAAAATACACATGGAAAAAAAAAAAAAAGCATTTTTACCAAAAAACCCAAAAACAAGTTAATGGGAAAAACATAAAAAAGAACTACACAGAGCTGCACTTAAGAGATCATCTGGGAATGCATATTAACCCCTTCCATGTAAAGGAAAGGTGGAATTACGGAAGCAAACCTAATTATGTCTTTGCATTAAATATGAAGCTTTCTGAGAGGCTCCGGTAAAAATTCAGTTTTCCTACAACAGTGGGCTGCTGGAGGTTCCAGTGCTTTTCCAGGTCAGGGAGGGGTAGCACAGGCAGCATCCCTGTGCAAAATAAAAACGTTTAGTCAACTGAGTGGCCTTTTGGTTGAGATCCCAGCAGGTTACTGCAATCCACCTGATGTACAAAACCCAATGGACACACTTGTCAAGGAAGTCACAGGAAGGCTCAGCTACTGGACAGGTCTAAGCTGGTGGCATTTCTGTCACGCTGGACTTTCTCTGTCACCACAGGCATACAGGATCTCTAGGCGTGAGGCTTCTGGACCCAGCAGTCCACAAACCACCCTTGAGGTGCTGACAAAGGTGACACCGACTCTGTTCAACAAAAGTGTCCTCAAAATACCTGGAATGGTTTCACGCATTTCTGCAGTGACTATGAATCAGGTCCCTGTGGTTAAAACAAAATTAAACTGGTCTGAAACAGTAAAAAGTCTCCAGACAGCCACCAGACAAAGGGGTGCCTGGAGAGAACTAACCTCTGCATCCATATTTCTTTCATAAAGGGCTTGAGCTGACACAAGGGCAATACTTGTAAGGCTGCTCAGACCTGGAACATGTTCGCTGTATCAGCAATGAACACTATAGTCACTGAATTTTGGGGCTTGGCTTGCTCTAGGTCCGGTACTTTTTTTTTTTTCTTTCCCTCTTTTCCTCTTTTCATACAAATAGACAAAGAGTGTAAAAAAAATTTAAAAAGCGAACTTTGCTGATTAAATGACAGACAAAGTTCCTGCACATTCAGAGATCGGCAACGTGAGGCCTGCCAGGCAGGCACCCAGCAGAGCTTCCATCAGGGAGGACGGCTTTAACCAAGCTGGGTCAGTGAAAGAGCAGGGAGACCGAAGACGTGACCAAGTCATTTCAATCCACTTCGATCCTCCCTGTGATCTCAACTCTTCCTCTGGAAAGCACATGGAAGCCCCTCTTGCCCACTCTAAATCCTTCTGGAAATAGTCAAAAATTTGTTATCACCTAAATAGAAAAGAGGAGAAACACACACTCTTTGCAAATGGCCCTTTGATCTGTATTAAAAACAGCTCTCAAAGTTCCTCAAGAGTTAGAATTAGTGGGGCACGGGTGAGGGGCAGTTTAGATACGGGATGTAAAATATTAAAAAGTGCTCTGCAACTAATTTTTGTTTTATGTGTGTATGTGCCTGTGTGTGCATATATATACATACACAAACATGCACATACACACACATATATACATATATATATATACACATACATATATATGTACGTATGTATAAAGTTAAAAAGTTCTATACGATATGATTAGAACAAGTGTCCTTGGAAGGTCACGACTGGAGAGAGTGGGGCCTGTTGGGATGGCAGATGGGGCACTCGCCCTCCTCGGCGCACGTTTCACACAGCACTGCGTGTTGGCACGGTAACACCACCCGGTTCTCCTCCTGACACTTAAGGCATTTCACCGACTGCATCTGAAATACCGCCTGCAAGAGAGGGGGGGGGACAGGGCAAAACATAAGCATCAAAGTCACAAAGCAAAAGGGCTCCCACCCTGTGCTACGCAGCGTGGGGAACAGCGAGGCGGCGGCAGGGAAGGGCTGCAGCCGTCCGACCGCTCACTTTCTGAGGCAAAAGCAAAGCAGCCCCGGACGATGGATGTCTTTTAGGACCTTTAGGATCAGCAGAGAGCTTTGAGTGACTTAAACTCTGTACTTTAGGCACAAAGAAGAGGCAGGTATTTCCTGTAAGCTGGCTAAAACGCACTTTGGCTACATCCACAGGGAACTGCTTTGATAGGCTTATGATTTCTGGCTGTATTAAGGAAAAGGTAAAAAAGCTGCCATCTGTAGGAGCAGAGAGCAAAGCCCTGCCATGCAAATCCCTGGCACTCACCTTATCGACTTTCTCCAGGTTTGCCCGTAGCTGTTTCTGAAGGGTGTAAAGCGAAGAGAGCGAGAGCGTTTCCAGGTCAGAGAAGGAGCGCAGAAACTGAGGGTCCTGGCCTGTGTGGATCCTCTCCAGCTCCTCCTGCAGTTTCTTCACTTGCAGCTCCAAGGCTTCCCTCTGCTCCCGGGCCAGTTCACATTCCATGTTAGCTGTGTTGGCGCGATCGTTTGCTTCCTCTGCCTCCTTTTTCCAAGCGTCACAAGCCTACAGGTTCCAACAAAGAGGGTGAAAGAAGCAGTCTGAAAACTCGGCCTCCTAGAGAGAACCCCAGACAAAACCATCCATCTCCACACACTCCTCACGTGTGCTCTGTCCAATCGGCCCTGGGCCCAAACTCTGAAACATCCTTGGGGCTTTGCTTCAAAGCACTGCTCATTCCAGATACCCCATCTGCTCGGGCTGTGGTTCTATGTGTTTGGCTCGCACCGTTAAGGGGATGAACTCTGCACACCAGCAAACTGTCATGGATCTCAGTCACTTGGCACGTCCAAGAGACTGTCGAGCACTTCAGTGCATCTGTCGTGACACCTGGCCTTGCACTTCCAGCATCCGAACACATCAGGCACAGCGACTCAGTCCCTCTTTCCAAGGCAGACAACAAAATAAGAACGCTTACGAGAATCTATTTGTAAAACCTACAGCTCTTCCCATCACCTCAGTGTCTGGAAAGCTTCTCATTAAAGGCTGACACCCTCCTACTGCTCTACACTCCCTAAATCCCTCCTCCCAGGAGTTGCTCAAGTACCTGTTTGGCTTGTTTCCAAGACTCTTCCCACTGCTTTATTGTGCCGTTGGCTTCATCCAGTTCTTGTCTTAGCCGTGCCAGCTCCGCAGCACCTGGACCTGACAGAAATGCAGGTGAGGTACTGGGCGAAAAACTCCCCGAAGCAAAGTGTTCCCATATGCTGCTGTTCATCCCATTTAAACCTGTTTCACAGGGAAATAGAGAGGGTTATGTCACAGGTGCTGGAAATTTCCCCATTTCCTCCCTACCCCTGTGAAATCCAGGATTCAAAAATGTGCACATAGGAAAAAGATGATCATCTTAAGAATTCCCAAGAGTCCATCACAGAGGGACTTTGCAGGGGAAGTTTCACACCATTAGGCCTCATCTTTAATGATACAGGGAGGATCCAAGAAACTGAGTGGAGACAACTTTTGAACCAGGCTGTCTTTAGAAGCATCGATTTTAGAGCAGAGCTGACTACCAGTTTGAATCCCCCTTCTCACCTGAGAACCTCTCAACTGCTCACTGACTTCCCCCTTGTTTGTGCAGCACAGCGATCAGCGCTGGTGAACAGACCGGTTCACACCGCCAACCCAGGTGGTGCTTTCTCCCACACTATACCTTAAGAAAACTCCTGCTTTTCTCTCCTCAGCTTGGCGCTTGGGAAAACCAGTCTCACTTCCCAAACCTTGAGACTAAAATGCACCAATGTCATCACTGTTTGCCTACGCAAGAAACAGCACTAACTGGAAAACCCCGTTTATAAACAAGTGGAGGTGATAGCACATACATCAGCTTCAGCCCCTGCAGAGTTCTAGCATAAAGCTAGTGATTGGCACCGGAGAGGACTAACTAACCACTTCCCTATTTTAGCTTATTCAAATAATTTTTATGTTCAGGAAGAAATTCAAGGCTTAGGAGACAAAGCAGCAGAAAACCAGTTGTAAACAAAACGGGCTATTTTTCACAGACTCCGGGGTTTGTACTCTTTCAGTAACAAATATTTTTACTTAAAATAAGTGTCCACACTTTACTCTCAGGTGGAACAATTAAGAAAAGCTCGTATCAAGAGAGAGCTACTGAGTGACGTGCACTCTTAAGCACCCAGATGTGCACCAGTTTGCTGTAGCAGTCATTTTCCTTTAGTGGTGCTCACCACCGGGTGTGGACATTCCTAAATCTAGTTGCATTTGGTAATTCTGATCTTACAGCAGCTGAACTGACTGTGTTTGCAAGCAAGCCCTGAGGCCAATGGCCTCTCAGCGAGGGCTAACCCCACACCACTTACTTCCCATTTAGTGCCAGCCAAGACACAAACAGTCACAAAAAACCAGCTGAAAAATAGTAATTTGTCTTCACTGAGGGCTTAGGTGCATTAACAAGTCATTCAGCAGAGCAGCAAGGGCTCTTTGCTGGTTCAGGCCACTTACCACAGATCTATTTCGGATGCTCTGAAGCATGCTTGGCTGACAGCAAGAAGTTTTAATGGAACCTCAACTCACACTTTGTTTTTAAAGCTCCAGTTTTCTTGAAAGGGCATCTAGCACTAAGCAGGATGCTGGCAAGCCACAAATTCTGCCATAACGCTGACCAAGCTTATCTCATCACTTCTTTTATTACTCCCTCCTTCCACCTGCTGTTCTCATTTCACATTTGAAGTAGCAAGGTCCTTTGGTCGGGAATGCCTTCTCTGCACATTTTGCATCTAGCACAGCAGGAACTAGCCCAGGACTAGGTATTTTTAACTCAATTGCAATACAAGTAACTAATAATTACACACACTACACACTAACTTACGTGCACTCAGCAAGCCACATGGAACAGACTCCAGATTGCCAACTGCTAGGTTACTACTTAAATAACGTGTCAAAACCTCAGCAAAAAAGTTTTTGTTTTATTACAGGAAAATATCTAACTTTTTTCTTAAAAATCAAGCATTTAAATGCGTTTGTGAATTTCCTGCATTTCTTCATGTTTTTATTTGTATAACTACATAGTCAAGACAAATAACTTTTTTCTGAAATTAGCAGCAGGCCTTATCAGCCAGTTTTCCTTTTCTTACTGAAACTGGGATGAACAGCCAGCCTCAACACTAATTAATAGCAGAGATGCCCTCCGATGTCTCCTTTCTTATTATGGCAATTGTAAAAGCTGTTACAGCCAAACCAACAGCAACTACAAGGCACGGTAACACGGTTTTGGCCTGTACAAACAAGGGATGCAGTTACACAGGTAAGTGCATGCAGAAATAGATTACAAAAGCATGTCATCATTTCACTAGGTTAAGCTGAATATGAAAGAGTATCTCAAATTTGAAGCAGCATTTACATCTAGTATCAATAGAGAGAACTAATATTTACTGTTACTAACAGAAATGAGCAGAGCCAGTGTCTCTGTAGCCTTGAGCCCAGTTTTATGTCTCAAGGTAACCCCATGTCTTGATAATAAAACAGATTTGACCCCTCAGTTCCCAGTTCTGCCCGATACAGCTGAAGCTCCAAAGCAATTAGTTTCTCTTCCCTTCATAGTCCCTCACACAAGAAACGGATCCTCAAGAGGGGAGGGGGAAAAAAAAAAAAGGAGAGAAAAAAAGGGGCAAAGGGGACAAAGCTGGAACACTGTAACTGTTTGCAAAGTCCATACTGCAAAACTGCACGGAGAGTGTTAAAGACGAGAAAAACGTACAATGACCCAAGCCTGCTCTAGAGCTCCCAGAAGCCAACCTGACCTACAAGCAGTTCCAAGGGCAAACTGCAATCCCCACCTTAACTAAGCAAAGCTGAGGACCCAGCTCTGAGTTTTATGTAAAGTGAAGTCTCAGCACAGCATTGTTGGCAGGAAAAGGCAGATCTCTTTTCCCTGAAAAGCATCATCAGAGCCAGCCACTTAAGCGATCTGTCCCTTTTTCTCAGCCTAGAAACATGGGAAGTGGAGGGAATTGCTCCCTTGTTCACAAGGCCGATTTTTGGTAAAGCAGCTTCTAGTACTGTCACTGTTCTAACGGGAAGAAGAGATACAAATGGCAGCAGTGAAATAACACATTAAAATTAAAGCTAACTTAAAAGAAAAATACTTACATGGCACAGACAGGCATGTACATGGGACACACACACTGTGCATTTACCTAATGATCCATGAGAAGCTGATGTCCCCAGGAACGTGTTTTCTGATTGGCTTAAGTGTCCCTGGGGCTGATGGAGGAAATGCGATGAGAGGCTGACCGGTGGAGAAGGAGAGGCAGAGTGAAAGGAGGCAGAGCTTCCAAGGGACCCGGGGATATTTACAGGAGCAGAACTTTGCAGCAAACTCCCACCTGGACAAAGAACACACAGAGAGGATGGCTATGTATGACCATGAAGTATGGGCCAGAGCACAGTGCAGGAGTTCAGAGCAGAAGGCATTAGCTTCCCTCTCTCCTTCCTAAGCCCCTCGGGATTCCCTCTGCTTCTCATCGTGTTTCATTCCCCTCTCAGCCTTTAAGAGGAGCACCGAAGCTGCCGTCCCATGAACCACGTAGGTTACAACCCTCCAGAGTTCAATGGACTGCTCTTTCATCGACCAAAGCAAAAAAGGTTTTCTGAGCAGAGTTCAGTCCCTATCAGTCTGGAGAAGATGTATTTGGTATCTGGCGAAACTTTGTAATGAAAAATTCACTTCTAAAACATGTGCCCCTGCCTTTAATACTTCCAAACAACCTGCAGTGAGGAGACTATCATGCTGGGTCAGGTCATGATCTTAGCCACTAAAAATCAGTGACTTGCTTTACTCATTTTAGACATACTTGAGTGCCCAGATCTGTTGGTAATAAAAAACCCCAAAGAAACAAAAGCCCATCCTCCAAAGGAACCACGCTTCCCTGACACAAGAGGTCACTCTGTCTGCCACACACAGACTGAGGGAGATCTCAGCCCTGCTCCCCACTTTTTCCTGATCTCCATTCTTAGAAGATCACCAGATAACACCCAGACCTGATGTGAACCGAGGGAAAAGCAGTGTGGAGGCTCTCTAAGCCACTGCAGATGGGCAGCAGCAGAAGCAGGGCTATCCAGCAGACGTACACAGTAAACTCTCCAACCAGGCTCTTCTCTTCGGCAGGGAAGTGGAAGTGATATTCTTTAGGCTTCCTTCCACAGGTCCCTTCCTACCTCAATACAGCTCCAGGCAGTGTAGTTCCCTTGGAAACCTTCAGACCACCAAAGTCAGCTCTCATTCAAAACCTGTCCTACACAGCAAGGGTACCCAGAAACTACAACCACTTCCAAAAAGCTACGAGACATTTCATTTTTCCCTGGACACTCATTAGAGACAGGTAGAAGAGGCCTTAGCCTACCTCCACATATTAAAATGAGACAGACGTTACAGGAATCAAATCAGCAGACCATGATGACACTCTGTGACAGATGGATAGCATTACCAGGTCAGTGAGTTTCCCGTTACTGCTAGGGAGAGTTTTCTGCTTAAGATGCAAATTGTTATACTTTGGCCTGTTTTTAAAGGTATCAGATGCCTTTTAGAGTCTATTTGCACACTTCAAACCAAAAAAAAATAAAAAAAAAAAAAATCAAGCAAGTCCCATTCAGTCTCAAGAAACATCCCCACGACACCTGGGCCCAATGGCAAGAACTCAGCTCTGCTAGTCAGTAAGGGCAAGCTTTCGCTTCAAAGATGCTCAGCGGTTGCCAGAGTTGGTTATAATTGCTGTTTTAACCAATGTTATCTTGGGACTGGTTTTAGAGCTTTGTTGGGCTGGCTCCACTGAGGTGACTGGGCAACACTGCTTGGCAGAAGATAAAGAAAGCTCTGTTGCTTTCATGTACCTATCATGATGCCACTCGTGTGGGGCACTGTGCTGCTGTCAAATGTCTTCTCCAGGGCAGCCACTCCGAATTCATTCAGGTCCAGGTCATCCAAGGCAGACTCTGCCAGACACAGAGGTACCAATTATGTTATAAAGGACCAACAACTTCCAAGAGATAGGATGGCCCAAAGAGCCTACATGCAGAGGAGCCTTCGCTCTCTATTTGTCAGTCTGCACGGCCCTACTCTCCACCCTGTGCAACGCTGTTCTTAAACGGTTTGGCAGAAGTGTCATGGGCAGCTTCTCAGTTCAGGTTCTTTCGCCTGATCCGAATTCTTTTTGTCTCAAAGTATTCACAAATGTTATAGTAAGATAAAAAAAAACCTGATGAAATAACAGCAGTTCCCATAAGCCTTCCCCAAACTGCTCTTTCAAGTCTGTCCATAATATGCAGTAACAATGGTTTATGACACGTCTGGGTCTGGCTTGTGCTTTGTCCCTACTTTGCTGAAGAGCCACTTGGAAATGAAATACCAGTAGAAGGCAACACTTGAAAAACATCTGAGGTTCAAAGATAGGGTAAAATAAAGAAAGCTCATGAATGCCTGCAAACGTTACATCTATTTGAACATGCCTCATCACTAATCGTGATCAATATAATTCCATCCCACACATGCCCACTCGTTTCTATTATTATTTTTAACAAATTAGTGAGATCACCTCAGAAACATTAGATTTAAAAAAAAGAAAAAAAAAAAGAAAAAAAACAAGAAAAAAAAACAGGTGACCAAAAAAACCTGTACCTATCCAAGAGGAGTGATTCTACTCTCTGGACTCTCCTGTTCAATTTTTTTCTTACGGCCTCTGTCCTACACTCTGTGAAGGGCAAGTCCTTACAATCTACCTGGTGGTAGCCCTTGCTATGAAGCTGTCATTTAGAACGTCAGGGTTGTAACTGTGGAAAACGCCCCTGCGATTTCCTGCCTACTCCAAGACCTCTTCGTCACTTTGACAAACCTAAAACTAAGGCCCTTTACACCATCTGACATTCTGAGTAAGCGGCTCAGAGGCCTTCTGTTGGTCCCGTGGGTGAATTTCATCCATAATGACCTGCAGAAAACATCACATGTGTCACAGTCACAGAAAAAGCTTACAGCCTCGGAATCTGCCAACACTGACAGAGACGAAAAACTGGAGTTCACTGGAACACCCATGCTAGTCGAACGCTCATACCTGGTGATCCACGTCTGAGGAAGCCCTATTAGCATAAGTAAAAAAGGCAAAGTTACCTATGACAGACTCAACGGTGTCACTGGTTGGGTAGAAAGGAAGGGCATTGGCATTCATGCCTGGTATGCTGCTGGTGCCGGCAGGGCTCGGTGGCGTTGCTGCCAGACTGGAGGTGATACTAGAGGAGATGCTGGATGTCAGCGGGCTCCCCACTGGGAGAATACCCAGTATGTCCTGAAACAAGAGTTTTAAAAGGGAAAAAGGTAGGAAATAAAACATCTCTATAGAAGAATCCCTTCAGAAACACGCAGGAATGAGCCAAAGATAAGCAGCAAACCTGTTCCTGCCTGCTTCCAACCTGACAGATGGCTGGTGCTACTACTGGGCTGGGGGTGGGGGAGAGATTAACAGCTTTTCTTTAATTTCTGCCGACTGTTCTCCATTCCGTCCGTGTCCCCCGTCCCCCCACCCAGCATTACAAACATCCTTCAGGCTGCCCCAGAATTAACTCCTGTGACCCACAGGTTGCAGGCAATCATAGAGATGGGTCACACAATCACTCACTTGGACTTAGTTCAGCCCACGACTTAGAACCTGATATTAAATTCTCTTTGCCGAATCCTTGAACTCAGATGACTCCAAAGATCCATTCCAGCTCAATTTTCTGTAATTTGGAGACTCTCTCCAGCACGGTCCAGGCCTATGAATCTATCCTGAATTCACACACCTCCAGCAAATCATCCCACCTTCGCAAAGTAACCCCTCAAGCTGAGCACCTCTAATGGGGGCTGGACTGCCATTTACTCCCCGCAGAGTTGTCTGGATCCACAGAGCTTTCTCGTGATGTCCTTGTCTGTGGTGGTGCGAGCACCGAGCTAGGTTCAGAGCCCTGCTAGCAGTACCGTACCTGTTTGGGCTGTAACAAAGGTTGGTCCTGGCTCCTGTGTTCCAGTGAGTGGGACTTCATTTTTGCTTGCTGCAGTAAAGAAACAGAACAAGAGATAAGCAGAGAGATTAGCAGCAAAATTAAAAGTGTCTGATTGCTGGCTTCGGAGAGGCCTTGGGAAACACAGTCCCCTCCTCTCTTACACCCTGTTATGGGCACTAGAGAATTCTGAGAGCGGGAAAGCACAGCAAATTGAAAACACTCCAAGTAATTTGGTTTCTATATACCAAGATAGTTTTGCAAAGACTTATCGCCATTACATTTGCCTTCGATGCTGCTGTAAGTCCTCTGCTAGCACAAAGGACATCTTAAGAACCAAAAAAGAATTATTTTGCCTTGCTATAAATAACTCATCAGCCCCTATCTAAAAAAAGGGCCAGAAGTGGTGGGAGGCATACCATATTTTTTAATTATGTAAACATTCTTCAGCTTTGGGAAAATAAAGTACGTAGATTACATCTTCCCTCAAACTTTTCCAGCTCCCAGCTAGGACTGCAAAGTAAAACACAGTGATAACTAACCAATTTTAAAAGCAACATCATCAAAACTGATTTACAAAAACCAACCTTCCCCCATCCATTAACGCAGAAAGCTCAAAGCTACAAAACACAAGCGAGGTCAAGGCTGTCTGGAATTGCAAAACTGCATGAATGCCAACACGCATTTAGAATTCCACTATCCAGCCTAAAAGTTCAGCTTAAGGACCTTCCTGTGCCATACCCTTAACGGACATCAACCCTCTTGCCTCACAACATCAGCCAGTTCTCAGAGACAACCACCAGAGCTGGGAAGGAAGTGGCCTCACGAGCTCGTCGGTGTGTAAGGGTCTGTTCTGCAGGCCTCGCTCTGTTCCTCCCATGCAGCTCCATGTATAAGGCACAGGGAGATCAGTCACACCCTCCAGGCACAGAGCGGGAGCAAAGAAGGACTGAGAGTCAGGGCTGCTCGTTTACTCACTCTCCAACCCCCTCCCCGGCTTGAATCAGAGACATATTCCAGGCATAAAGTCAGCTCAATCGTTTTTATCGCCACTGCAGCGGTCACCACCTCTACAGGGGAGACTCAGGCACGATGGACAACAGCAGCGCAGGAGACGCCACGCTGACTCGAACTGATATGCCTTGACTTTTTGGCTTAAACCAGCCTTATGAAAAAAGATAAAATGATTTCTGGAGAGGGACGACATAACCAGACAGGCGAAAGAGCAGCAGAAAAAAATGCATCCCTTGGTTTTACTTAATGAAATCACTTTCTCTGCTCAGCTGTACGCCTACGGGCAGATGGGGCGGCCAAAGCCTGGCAAACAGGCAGTTGAGATAGGGATGCAAAGATCCTTCTGCGGTGGGTACCACGCTCTCACACTTCCCTGAACACCACACAGCGCGTTTACATACGGCAAAACTACCGCTGAACCGACCAGGCTCGTTTTCCTTTGTGTGCAACAGATGCGTTACGTTAGTGCATCTGCCTGTGTCTGATAACACGCCTGCTAGATTATCCCACACATCCCTACCCTGCTCGACACTCATCTGAACACAAGATGCGCTATCAACAGACGTCAGCAGCTGAAGCAAAGGCACATACGCAGCCATGCCCCCCCCCGAGGCTTTCTGCCAAAGCAGCTAGCTGGCTCTGGGGCAGTTCAAGTCTTACCGGAAGGATTTTTTCCTTTAAGGAGGAGAAAAAGTGAACGCATTTCTAAGCTAGTCCCAATTCCCACTGTCTTGAGTTCAGGTAACACCAGTGAAAAATGGAGCAAACGACTGTCACCACTAAGCCAGCGCCCCTTAGCTCTGAATAATGTTACAAAGGGCATACATCAAGACAGAAATTCAAAGGGCAGGCTGAACTTCTCCAGCTCACTGTTGCAGCCAGGAAAGAAAACAGGGCACATAAATTACGAATGTTTTCTGACCAGCATGGAACAAACCCACTGCACTGTGCTTCAGGACTTAGGAACACCTCCCGGTCATGGCACTCAAGCCCTTCCAGTGCAGCCAGCATTTTTCCAGCTTGCTAAATCTTTTGGGACTCAGGAAAAGTATTTTTAGCTTTAACTGCTGGCTCAGCCTTACCACAAACTATGTGGAACCTTTTAACACAGAAGGTGCATTTTTCATTCTAATAAGACAGAAACTATTTGTACTAATTCTACAGAGGGAAAATGACAAGCCTATTGCAGAGCTGAGCCAAAGTGTCTCTTAAGTTTTCAAATATGAGTGAACAAAGTTAAATGCCTAATTATTGGTCTAATTTACAGGGTGCAGGAGAACCTCTGGCGCCCAGTGCAGCCAAAGGGAATTACAGAGTATTTTAAAGAGTAAGTAATTACAGATTAAAAGAAAATTAAATCAGAACAATTATGAGACACCTAATTTTGTCTGTAGAAGCCTAGCATAAGGCAACTGTGATTACTTCTGTCTATATCTTAATAGCTATTTATTCCAGTCATTTAACACAGGTTTTTGCTTAACTAAAGCCACATAAGTAGGAAGCTACATGAATACAGTATATCTTTGTAGCACAGCCTGGACTTCAGGCCTAAATGGTCAGCATCTGGCCCTTCTTTTAAAAGTCCTATTCATGCTCCATCCCCTTTCTCTTTGGCTTAGGCTTGCTGCCTGTTTTCTCCAAAGCAGGGCCTCCCTGGCACTCTGCCTCTGCTGGCAGGAAACCGGGGTTCTCTCAGTCCTTCGGCTTTGGGTTCACTCCTCCTTTGCAGCAGAGGCAATGGAGAACGAGCACATGTTTTTTTCTTTTGTTTCTAAACAACTGCTACAAGCTGCTGTGCCCGCAAGAAGTGCCAGGATCACAGCACGGTCTGCTCTTTACCCCCAAAGACGTGTTGCATCAATTTGCAATTTCCTAAGCCACATCCATGTTAAGCAAGACAATGGAAGCAAAGAAAGTGTACATTCATTTAGCTTAATCTGTATTTGTCACAAAATCATTTTAATTGGACTAAACAGTGTTCAAGTCTGGTCCTACTGCAATGTTTGGTCATATTTTTCCAAAGTTGTAAAAATAAACAGAACAAAACCCACAGAGTCTGCTTCTAAATCCAACTACTTTATGCAAGGTCTTGTCTGGACAGGATATTTCCACTGTTTCCTCACAGCAATGCAATACTAACACAGCAAAATAAGCTTATTAAGGCTAGCTTCTTTAATATTGCAGACAAGATTTTAAGTGTAGCCAGGTTGAAAGCAGCACTTCTTATCACCTCTGTTTCAAACAGCATAGACCAGGTATTTTTATTCCTTTTTATATCTTTTTTAAAGCAGAACTTGTAGGAAATACTTTTGCAGGCACCTCTTCATAAAAGCAGCTATTCCTTCCCCTAAATCAAGATGTCGTTCCATTACATTTACAAACCCACTGAGGAATAAAAACCTGAGACCCAAGCTCTGGGTTGGAGTCAGCTGACTTGGAAGGGATGGTGCAGAGAAACTACTAATTGTAACATCAAGAAAGGAATTTCACAATAAGAAGTTGATTGTGGAAAAGCTCATATATGGCAGAAGAGATGGAAGATACTGTTCCAGGCTTAGGGAGCAGTCTGAGTAAGGCATGACACCGAGAAGGAGAAGACTGAGGAAGCAGCGAGGCAAGACTGGACTATCCAAAAGGAGTAAGAGGGAATGTTATTGGAAATGTGGGTTGGGTAAGATTCCAAAGGCTTCTTCAAATGAGAATGAGGAATTCAAATTTAATACAGAAGCCACAGGAAAGAGTCAAGGATCAGAATGATACAGCCAGAGAAGCAAGAGACAACTAACATGACATTTTTAATACACGGGAGAAATGAATGGTGAAAACAGAAGACAAACCAAGTCACAGAAATCAAGGTAAGAGTTCGGAGTGAGAACAGAGAAGGAAGTATGAGCTTCCATGAGACAACACAGCAAAAGAAACAGCAACTCTTGGCAAGGACCTAAATAAGGAAAAAGAAAGAGCAAGAAGTGATATGTAGGAAGCTACCCAGGGTCAACACAGGACAGAAGTTGAGAGGGATTAGGAAAACAAGCAGCAGCTCAACTTCTACAAACTGAGTGCGTGATGGCCGCTAGGCAGACAAGAACAGATGTGAGATGGAAGAGACTGGAAGGGAGGCTGAAAGCAACAGCAGAGATCTGAGAACTGCTAATGAGAATGGTGCTTTCTCATTTTTGCTCCTCAAAAAATGAAAACACATTCAAACTAGACTGGGCAATTTCTCATTCTTCCTCATCCCCCCAACTCTTCCAGCCAATATTCCCTACTAACCTGGCATTTGAAACTCTTCAAATACTCGGCCCCGACCTGATCTTCTCGCTCAAACCCCGGTGCTTTCTTGTAGCTGCCGGCTGCTGTTACTGAGTCTGGAGGAAAACCAATGGTCTCCAAGCTGTGTGGCTTTCCAATGGCACCAGGAGGAGACCCACATATATTAGATGGGCTTCCGAGACTGCTGTTCCTACAAAGAATCTAATAGAAGGAACAAGTGTCAGGAAGCACAGCCAGCCAGTAGCCACGACTCGAAGAGGAGAGGCATCCCACGGAAGAGCTCATTCACTTCACTGTTTGTGCATCGATTACACTGACAGTCAACACAAGCATACAAGCTTTCAGTAAACAGTAATTAAGAACCAGGAAAAAGCTCCAGTAGATACTGGATTTATACAGTTCCACAGTTATGGTTTTATTGTCATTACCTTGTACTGGAGTGCAGTCATACAAAAACCAACCTACAGCTCTAGCGACATTTATTCTTTTTGAGGCCTCAGATGTGGCTGATCAAGTTTCCAAACCTGACCAAAACTCTCTTCACTTTCCTTAGGCTACAGTGGATCCTGTCTGCACTCTGAGTAGTAGTGTGAAACCTGGAAAGGTGCTATGGCCGTCAGAACAGCCAAGCATACCTGAGCTAAGTGTAATACTGTACCTTTTGCTTTCCAGTTGGAAATCTGAAAGTTTTAATGCAGGCACAAGCCAAGTATCAACAGCTGCATTAAAAAACCCAAGGATTTCCAACAGTTCCATTCTTTAGTCTAAGACCAGGGATCACAATCACATGCAACAAGGCTAGTTTTGCACTGTAGATGAAGCTACAGACAGCAGCAAAGGACATTAAAGATGAGTTTTACAGAAAGCGCCTACCTGGATCAATGCAGATACCCCATTTCTCTGGGACAAGAAATTATCTGCCTGCACTGGCAAGCACGACTGTGCTTCAGACATCATTTAGACAGCTACTGCTACCACAGATTCACATGTGGCACAGTCTGGGCTGGCATTAGAAAGAAGGAGCATCCTACAATGTTTTGATTTTATTTTTATACAGACATTCTGCTGTCCACGCTTCCCTACAGTTGCAAAGATACTACTCACTGTGGTGGAGGTGGGGCTAGTTGGCAGAGTTCCTGATTTATTCCACACCTACAGTACAAATACAAAACAGAACAGGCCACGTGAGGCTGGCTGCTAGAGGGACCTTTTTCTCTGATTAATTCATCATGTAAAATGATCACCAGCAAAGCCATATTTGTTTGCAAGCTACATGCAGATGCCCTGTGGAGTGATGAAGTCACAGCAAGACATGTGTTGCCGTTTGGCATATATCCAAGGATTAGGAAAGACTGTTTAAAAGACTAAGAGCTTGAGATAGAAAAGACCTAAACGGTCTATTAAGTGGAAGGTGTCTTCAATTTCACTGCAGTTTTCAGATAATTTAGATGATACATTCATAAGACGAAGGGGCTTTGTTTTTTACTGCTTTCCACAGTGCTATTTAGTGAGAGAAAATATTTTGTCCAGACTTTTGAAAATCTGCTTGGAATTCTAGCTGCAATCGAATTCAGGAGAACTATGAACTGTTAGGTTGGCTTTGGCACTAATAAAATCAAACTATCAGCTTCTCTTTTCAAAGAGGTGGAATAAGACAAAACAGAGGTCCTAAATGAGATCACCTCATTCTGACCAGTTTCAAGGGAGTTAAACCCATGCCATTTTACCTTCTCAAAACCTCGACCAACCATTTGAAAAGGTTACATACCTTATCAACAGTAGTGCAAACAGGAAAGACTTAACGAACAACCAAAAAAAGTCTCAGCAAAAATGTGGTCTGGCATTTCACGGGCTTCTTATCTGACTGTGTGCGTCTGTTCAGCATTTAAAGACCTCCCTCCTTGTGTGTACAACTAAAATAAAGTACTACCAACAATCTGGGGCATTACTTAAACATATTCCAAAGTTTAGCTATCTCCAGAAGTAGGAGAGGGAGGGAGAATCAAAGATATCCTATAATGCAACACACAATATGCACGGGCTAAGCCTCTGAGATTACATATGTAAACAAACTCTATTGTAGTTATGTACTTTAGATGTTATTGGCCCACAGCCTTTAATTAGAGTACTTAGAAACTAAGCCCAATATGTACCTCCAGACAGGAAGGAGTTGGACTTCATGTGCGGATGTATTCCACTTTCCTGAAAGTACATCAACAAACTGCACAGAAAGGAAGGCTTAGAAAGTTTATAGGCGAGAGGACAATACTAAAGCCACTGAATTGTATGTTCCAAACAAACAGATCCCTCTAAAGAGTGTGCAGCTGAGACCTAAAAGAAAAACGCCATATTCTTTGGGCTTTTGGATACTTAAGATTTCTCTTCTTGGGAGGAAGAAGTACAGTGACTCAGAGAAATCCAGATTTATAAAACATGGACAAGGCTTCCCGACAGTGCTACATACATTGCTAAGGTCTGGGGCATGTGGACTGGAAGGGCTGACCGGAACAGAATCGCCAGCTGCTGATGGCATATACATCACAGGGCCTGTCTGTGTCGGGCTCGACACAGCCGAGGATTGTTGTAAATCTTCATTGAGTGCAGGCTCTGGAAGAAATAAAAGCACATGGAATGTTACTCAAAGCTGTACAACTGCAATGGAACACAAGACATTTAGGAACAAGAATACTTAGACATTCTTGAGAGAAAAAGTATTCCACAAGCACCTACTTATAAGTATAGAAGCAAGGAGAAACCTTATCTGGCAAATGGCTACTACTTCTCTAATATTCCTTACACTATTACTGTCATCACTTGTACACTGTGCTGCTCTTTAGTCCATTAACGCTGCTCCAAAATTATCTTCCCTGCATGAATTGTGTGTTATTCAGCTGTCTTGAACTAAGCAGAGCTTCCTTCACTGCTAGGCACAAAGTCGACGAGTGCATTATAATTAGCTAAGGGAGATAAATTTCCATCTGTGCTCAGTACAAACCATTACCAAAATAGAGTAACATACATAGTAAGGCATACACAAAAAGAAAGTCATTGGCTTGGAAGGTAAAGTAGAGATGCTGTAGACTTGTAGTCTTTACAACTAACACAACTCAGCACCTTTACAAAAACTATGTAAACGACACGATGCCTGCATTACAATAGTTCAAAGCACTGGTTTCAATGCATTTCTTGCTAATAATCAGCAAAACTCATGCTAAGAGCAGATATAATAAATGGACACGTGTTATTTTAATTGAATTAGGCCCTCCGTGTTCACCTGGCTAAGAAAAGACTAAAAGGTACAATTCCATAAGGCAGCACAAGAAATAACCAAGTTGGAAGGACCCGAGTGCCACAGAATGTTACTCTGGCTTTAAAGTAGTATAATATCAAGTGCAGTAATCTTGTTAGGAATAAGGCATCTCCTAAACAAAAATACTATGTTATACACAAGGGAGTTTGCTCAACACTGTTCCTTTATCAAGATTTCATTCTCTCAAGCTTTTGCTGGATCAGACTGTGTAGTTGCAGCACTGTTTTGGGCCATTATAGCCCACAGCTCTAGCTATAATTACTGCTTGTCCACAAGGTTTCCTATAAAAGAAACTGCATAACCTGTAGGGAATTTACTTTCAGCATTCCTTGACAAAGGCAGCAATTACTAATTCCACCATTTACAAAGGATAATCAAATAACAAAGAGAGTTGCTCAAGGCCATGTAGTGAGTCAGTATCAGAGCCAATCTATTGACTTCTGAGTAACCTCCTCTAATTGCTGCAAATTCAACAGCGAGACTGCAGCACAGAAACTCAGCAGGAGCCATAGGACCAGGAGCTAACCATTTATCTAGGAACGTTAGTACCCACCTGAATACAGAACTCCCACAACCAAAACAGCATCACTAGTTTACAGATGATAAAAGTGAGGATTGAAATAATGCCCTACAGACCAGGGAGCTATCCAGAAAAGAGGATTTGAGGAAAAGTGGACAAAAAAGCTGCACATTTTTCTTCTCCAACCTGACTCGAAGCTTTAAGCACTAAGTAAAATTTCATAAATAGTAATAAGTATTTATTTTTTAAAACAGATCAATAAATTAACTGTAATTAGCAATTTTATCCTCAGTTTTTTAAAATGCAACACCTGATAACTCAGCTAGGTACAGTTCATCCAGCTACAGAAGAGAAGCAGCTTTCTGCTTCCGTCCTCCTAAACTGACATACAGAGAACTGAGCAAGTGAGAGGGAACAGATACTTCGAGAGACAGCGCAGTGAGAGCCAAGGGCTGAGTCCTACAGACTACCTACTGCCCTCAGCTCTGCCAGCACCTCCCACAAGCACAGTTTTATAGGAATTATCAAAGTTAATAACTTTGGTTTTTAAAATCCTTCACAGAAGCTCCAGTTCAGTGGTCCTATACTTTAAACAATCTACTTTGGCCAGAAGCTCTCCATAGCTCAAATATCCATGAAAGACGAGAGAAGCAGCCCACGTACGTTCTACATGTGCAAAGGCACAGAAGGGTCCTCGGGGACAGCTGCCAGACTGCTGCATATCATTGCATTTGGTGGATTTGTAGATCTAAGGATGGGAAAAAAAAAACAAAAACAAAAAAAACCAGACATGAACAGGAAAAAACAGTGACCGGCAGCCCAGGTACAAAAGTACTACGAAGAGACTCGACAGCAAGACAGGAACACAGGTAAAAGGCACAAAGGCCAGCAGAGCTCAAGGTGACCATTTCAGTGCTTTGCTTCAAAGAAAGGAAAACCCACCATAGTTACGGAAACACCAAAATACACCCATCACAGCTAGAGCTCACCCAAAGATCAACCCATCACACATCAGCTCACCCAAAGGTCACCATTTCCCATAAAGTCCCTCAGTCTCACTGGAAGCTCCATGGGTATTACAAATGGTACAAGGTAGGAAACAGCTGACAGATGACAGCACAGAAAGCTACAGCCACGTGTTTGCAAGGAAAATAACAAACCGTTGACAATGATTGTAGGAAATGGATTATTCCCCTTCCCCCCAGTTTGACAGGCGGTGACAATGGTTACTTTGCCGATACAGGCCCGACAAAGCTTTTCAACACTGTAACATGAAGCAGACTAGGACAAGGTCTTAATTACACTTTCTGTAAGGATACTGGAATGCTCTGGGCATGCTCACAACTAAGGGCTTGCTGGTTTTTAGCACCAGTTTGTGGTTATCTATGGTTTAGGATGATCACCATCAAGCAAGACCTGCAAACCCACAACATGCTGTCAAAAGGACCCCCATACATAAGACTGCTCTTACACTTGAGTTTTCCCCCTATTTTTCTTACCTCCTCCCGTACGGGTTACCTAATAAAAAGGCACCCCTGTCGAGCAGCTGAATTCCAGTGTACTTCCAACATGCAGTTCCTCTACATCCCAGGACCACACTGCAAGGAGCCCACGTACTGTCCCAGCTGGCACACTGATTTACTTTCTAAGACTGGAATGCTTTTGCTTTTCTAGTCAGCTACCAAACAGAGCGAGCAGGCTACCGTACCTCTGGATGGAACTGCTGTTCTGTGCGAGTGTGGCAGTATTGGCATGAGTCTCCATTTTCACACTTACTGGGATCACCCCACTCGTCTCCATGTTTCACACTGGGACATGGTGAAGATCTGTGTAAATACAGTAGCAGGAGAATGCATCAGACCCACCAATATGCTTTGAGCTTTGCTTCCTCAATGGGGGAGGCAGGTTTGGCTGCCCACCCTCAGCTCTACAATCTGCTTGGCTGGCTGCTACTTCCCCAGCCCCCACCCTGCTGCTATTACATTTTCTTCCCCCTCTCCCAATTTCCCAATGAAAGAAAGATGGCTGAGCTCTCCATCTGAAACAAATACAACCTGAACCAACATAACTTAATATTAGCAGCTGATGTGATTAGTGTCAGAGACGCTGGGTCTGATTTCTGTTTTGGAACTGTACATTCATAGAAAGCTAATAAGTTAATTGGCTAATCCTAAAACACATAATACCCTTACAGTGGTATGTTTCCAGGGTTATAGTATGGCCATGTGGAAAAGAGGCTGAGTCAGGTCACTGGGGAAAAGACAAGTCCATTTTCTTTCTGCCAGCCAGGAACAGTTCTTTTTCCTAGGTCTGAATTATTGCCGTGACCTACTTCCCCTGCTCTTTATGTTCTTAACCATTCCCTCAAACAACAGCAGAGGGAAGCAGATAGCAGCAGCAGATGCCTGCGTGAAAGGCACATCAGCTGGGGGTGGGGAAAGCAACACAGAAGTGAGCGGAGATCTGGAGGGGAGAAGCTTTCACCTCTTCCCTTGCCCGGGCAGGGGCAGAAAGCGCATGGCTGCTGCCTGAAGACTGGCTTAGCGTTTCTGTTTCTCCTGAAGGTGTTGGGATTAATGTTCCTTTGATTTTTATTTATTTAATTTTTTTAATACAGGATTTCAGTGTCGATTCAAAAATTTCTGCGAACGTTGGGGGTGGGGAAGGGAAGCGAGAACATCCATGGTATTTTCTCTCCTGGCTTTCTGGTCTGCTCTTACATTTTTCAAAAAGGAACTAAGGAAAAACCCCACTGAGACCACAACAAAAGCTCTGTTGTGTCAGAGGAAATGAGGGCCTATAACTCGGATGAAACACGTTCAGGGAGACACAGCATGCTGAAAAATCCAGCAACAACTGAGTGACAAGAACATCCTGGTGCCTCGAAAGCACAGACTTTAGCAGTTGGTTAGGAATGCAGGTCCAGCTGCAGTACTGGTCACACCGTGCTTCACAATCCCCATCACCAGGCACACACAACAAGCACCTTGATGATTCTGAATCCTTTACCATGAAAACACTGCTCTGTGTGTGTTTCTAGATGGGAATTAAAACTTTGCTTTGTTTTTCCTGCATTTCTTGCAAAAGCAATGGTAAGGGGAAGCCAGACACAGATTCTGTTAGCCATAAAACTAGAGTTGTAACATGATTTAGTAACAGTCACTTGTTAGAGATACTGCTTCCTCCAGCAAAACTCCTTGTTTGGTTTGTTATCCTGTCTCCTAGGCAGAAATAACAGTCCATCGCATCTGTCAGCACAGGCCTTGGAGTCACACTAAAAAATGATCTAGCGGACAAAATCCTCGATCCTTCATTACAGGCTTCTACTACACCTCACCACTCAGCTGGGAAATAGAATATCCAAGACCACAGTACCTGTATTTGTGCTTTCTTGGGCTTCTTCTTCTGTCTTTGCTATTGTGGTAGTAGGGACAGGCATAACCCTGGCGACACAGACGGGGGGGTTTCTTACACTGCTCTGTCTTATAATTTCCCAACACATAAGTTGTATCTGTAAAAGAAGCAATCGGTTAGTGCGAGGTGACCATAATCCATATTTACGATACAAAAGTTTTTGATGGAAGTAGGCACTCCACAAACACCAGACTTTCCCAGCCCCACAGACCCTAAGTGCCACTCACCTTGCCACCTTGGCTCCTCACTGAGTATCTTCTCTATCATGGCATGGCTAGCAGCGACTGCAGACTGACCCTCTATGCCACCTTCCGACGTAGTCTGACCATTCTGCAAAGCCTCCATCGCCTGAAGCTCCCTTCGTGGACAGAGTTAAATGAACATACAGACCGAGCAGATGAAGAGACAGAGAAGTGTGTATAAAAACTGACATGCCAGAGCGTGGTAACAATTTCTAAGTGGGTGCATTTCATTCATGCATTTTTTGTCAGAACATCTTTAGTCAAACAGCAACTGCAATACATGTTCTTTATTCCCTCAGAATTCCAGATGCATTATTTTGACACCCCCCCCCCCCATGAGACTTCACACCACAGCACAACTAGTTGAAAGAGTGCTCCCTTCCTCCACTTTGAGTATCCTCCCTGGAGCTTTTGTAGATTTGCCTTATTAGAAAGGGATATATCACCATCACCCCAATACTAAGCATTTCATGATGAATTAGTACTGTCCTTCAATCATCTGACTTTTCAATTGGGTACAGAAATCACCTTTTTAATACACAGCCCCAACCTCTACTAACCTGATGTCGTACACCGGAGAGCGTAAGTCATGGGGCCCATGAGCAAACGCGCAGTGGACTCCGTTCTTTGTGCAGTTTCCCTTGGAGTCTGTCTCATGAATGCAGATTCCAGTCTTGTAGTAGCGCAAGTGATACCTCCTCTCTGTGTCTCCAGTAGTTCTGTGCAAGAAGGGACATCTGAGGTACAGAAGGAGGGGAAGAACAGGCAAAGTTTAGTCACGCAGGTGATGGACTCTACACTGCCAGAACACATACTGCCGATACAGGATGCTGCAGCTGACACCTTTGCTAACTCTGCCCCTTCTCTTACGCTCCGCTTTCCACACTACACAGAACCCTTAAACCTGTCACTGCACAGTATGTAATGGCTTCCCTCCCCAAAAGACAACTGGATTATTAAGCCAGCAGCAGCTTATTGTTGTAGTCTAGTGACTGCCAGGGACCTGGAAAAAGAGCAAGGACTCTGTCAAGGTGTTCCGATATACTATCTGTGATTGAAGGGGCATCACATGGCACATACCATTTCCTCAGCAGCCCATCTAGACTTCGTGCTGTTACTGTTTCCATACTCCTACAGGGCTGCGACAGTCTATCTATAGCCAGATGCATCCTTTACGCAGAGCACGGGACGAGAAAGGAGAATTACAACACTACCATTTTAATTTTTGTTTTGTTTCCCCTCTTAGGCAGAAAAAGAACAATCTACACTGAGAAATAAAAAAAAAAACAAACAAGAACAAGATGGAATAGGTAAAGTTTAGATATTGCAGCACCAAGCTAAAAATACAAATCAGCAAAGAGTTCTGAGATGCCAACAGTTTTCATTCACTGAGTTTGAGCTAGACATAAAGCAGTGATCTAGAAGCCAAAGCCCCCAAATATCCTATTCCTAGTCGCTTCCAATTCTCTTCCAACAAGGAAGAAAGTATTGAAACCGAGCCTTCAGCCTGGGGGATTATTCCATTCTGCTGTAGTCACAAGATCTTTACTTAATTGGGTAAAAAAAAAAAAAATATATTGTTTTCCTGATAAATAGCATTTTTCTGTGTGTTTATACTGGCACCATGAAAGGGAACTGAAATTCCATCTTTCTATAGCATCTCTATATAAAACACTCCCTATATTTGACCACAGTTTGGCTGCACTATTTATTCTTCCATATCCGTCACATGCTTAAAGTTATATTACTGGGTTAACCCTTTAATTGCTCACATGCATAGCAGAAACACTTGCATCTCTGTTCCAGTTAAACTTATTGCAGTCACAGGGAGAGAAGACCCAAAAAACCCAAACTCTTTCTCATGTTGCCTTATTCTGGGTACCTGTCGTTTCCCTACTGGCTTCTTAAAAGTTCAGGAAGACAAAATAAACTAGTAAGTAACCGGTATGATTTAAAAAGCTGGGGACAGATAATTCAGGGGGCAGACTAGAGGACAAAGCTCCTCCTCTTTCTTCAATCTGTTGAAAACTAAGCTACCCTGCTAGTGAGCAAAGGCCATTATTTGACAGTCAGGGACTTACGGGAACAGAATCTTTCTGAGCCCTTTTCATCAGCAAGCTGTTTTTCCTGCCTCGGCTTTGCTGAGGATGCCAAGGCTCACGAGGACAGTGAACAATGCAAGAGCCCAATTCCCATCTAAGTCACCCTTAGCATCATCTCTGCAGCAGGCCTGGAGCACATGGGTTTCTATTACAGTTTTTACATCTGTTCTCATGTTACGTATGTTACAAAGCTGCTTTACTGCTGCCTTGCCTCATCTCTACAAGAACTGGCTGGAAGCATCACCTGGACTGATCCCAAAAGCCTAATACCTGAAAAGCAGGGTGCAGCCTTTACTTACTCATCTCCTTCTGGGCAGATTCCTGTGGTCTCGTCATACTTGGTACAGTAAATGTCAGGGCTGTAGTTAAATGTACCATCCCGGCGGCGGATAGATCTGCGACGGCGCTGGTTGACAAAGTGCCAGTGGAAGCAAGTGTAGGGCCGGTGCTGAGTGCACTTGTGCTGCACGAAGAGAGGGCACTGCTCCGTGCGGAACTCCTTCAGGTAACTGCAGACAGAAACCAAACAGCAGGAGATTAGGACCAGCATGCTGGTCAGAGGCAATATCCAATCACCCCACAGGGTCCAGGCCAAACGGAGCTGCATCCATCTCAGAGATGCCCGCTGTCCTTCCCACACCCTCCCCTGCTTTTTCTCTCAGTAATGGAAGCTGGAAGCCACTGGCTGTCTGTAATGGGAAGGTATCAGTTACCAGGCCAGTTAACATGAGTGCTAACAATATCTGAAATCATTTTCTATTGTGCCTTTCGGTATCATTTTTGAAGAGGCTTTTCATGAGGTTAGAAAACTGTGAGAAAAATAGAACTCTCAAGTACTTTTCTATCCATTTCTATCTCTAAATCTGAGACCTATCTGGGCAAAAGGGGGTTTCCTTCCTATATGTTCCCTTTAAAAAAAAACGACAACAACAAATAAAATACAATTCCTTGTAGCCTTGCAGTATTCAAAGTTACTGAGAGAAAAAGATTTTTAAAAGACTCTTTCATGCCTTGCCTTCCTGGTTTAGCTTGGCTTCTCCAGTAACATTTGACTATGAAATGAAAATTAATCAATTTCTCTCTTGCAATCTTGTGAATTCAAGACTCAGTCTGAACTACCCTCAAACTCCTGCATGTTTATGTTGCTTTAATTTTAATATGTAATTCTCTGAAAGTACGTGTCTTCTTTTATCCTGAGAACTAAAGAAGTCACAAGCTTTTATTTGTGACACTAATAACAGTCTCTAAACCCAGATTGTAGAGGATTACAAAATGGTTTAGATCAACATAATGATCTGACTGTGATCTGTGTGTAGGTGCTTACAAAATCCACGCTGCCGGAAACCCAGTAGCTGCCCTGTATTTCTAGGGAATATATGAACAGTTCAAGTAGCCCAGACCCAAATCCCACCGGGTTCAGTCTCAGAGACACCTCCAAGAACAACTCAAAAGGCCCAGAACATTCCCGTCTCTTACGTTCAGACATCAGTTTAAACAGCGAGTAACAAAATTTGTCGGTCAAAGTAAAAGTGCTGGTATTCTGCTGGAAGCACAGGATGATATAACAGCAAATATGGACTAATTTTAACCTGTGTGTGTACTTCAAGGCAACAAAAAGGAGTATAGGAATTTGTCGAGTATTCATTCCCATATCAGACTATCTTTCTATCATGTTTCTAAATAAACTGAAAGATGTCTGATGCCCAAAGATGTATTACAGAGAATATATCTGTATATCTGTAATACAGATAATATCATCATGCCAGATGCATTCTGAAAGCAACATCTGTAAATAAAGCCTCCTTCCCTCTTTACCTCTGGCTGAAGAGAAAGCCTCAGGAAAATGCACAAATTCAACCAGAGCGGTTTTATTTGTTGGCGATGAAGACAGAATATCGCTGGCAAGAGCTTTCCTACATTGGATTTTGCAAGCGTGAAAGGATAAAAGCTCTCCCTCCTCTTCAGCCTCCCAATGTGCGAGACTTGCGGGTTCCACTGCTTTGGATCTGCGAATGCTCGGGGCTGGAGAGCCTCCGCAGTCGGCTGTAAGCCCCTTTCAACCCAAGCCCATCTGTCCCCTGCAATCCAGCGCGGCTGGAACAGTATCTGCATCGGGGCTCAAGGCTTACCATCAGAAAAACCAGAGCCAGCGTGCAGAAACAGGTCTGTGTGGCGTAGGTGGGGGCTAACAACATCACTTTGTTCCTTTTCACTTTTTAGAAGTCAGCTCTATTCAAATGGAGATCCCGACTCCAACCACAGCAGCAATTCAAATATAAAATTAATCTATTCTTGGAAAGCCTTCTAAGCAGTTGTAAAAGGTGGAATTCCACAGATTATTTTATCTTATCAGCGCACTAATAAGACTTAAACCAAAAGCGACTGTAACAACATTTAGGTTAGAAAGTGAATTAAGTAAACTTAAGCAGCATGGTACTTAAGACTACTGTCCACAGATCCTACACAGTCACCAACCAGTTCCTTCCACTCATAACATCTCCACGTACACCTTAGAGACACAAGATTTATGTTACTCCCATTTCACATACAGATAAACTGCAAAGCAGCTGGTTGCGTGCCTCGGCCAGTATCATCAGCAATCAGAGCTGGTGACAGAAACCAAGAGCATTTAAACTCCTCCATCTTCACTGAAGTGTGTCTGGGCTGAATTTGAACAACAGCATCCTGAACCTCTTCAACGGTCTAGAAATTAAGGGGAGACATCAGGCCTACACAACTCTGATAGCAAGTCCAGCACTCCAGACTTGTAGGGCTAGGCATGTAGGAAACACCATTAAAAACCCTGGAATTTAACAACTGCATGATCAACCGAGCTGAAACAGCTTCCCTTTTGCAGTAGAGTTTAAAAATGTACACACTGACTAGGGATTTTGGTCTCTGGAGTGTCAATTGTTGCTGAAGAGCATTTGAAAATTAATTGCATTTCATGATTGGCTAAACCCCCTGGAGAAACACTTATTATAATGTAAATGAGAGATAATTACATAAGTAAATGGTTCACCTGAAAAGTGTTTAACACCTAACTTGCTTCATCAGAAACTCATTCTTTAATGCTGTCTATTAAATAAATGATCTCTCACTCTTAATTTCAAAGCAAGGCCTGCAAACAGGTACCACTGAGCTCCACACACCACATTAACTGTGCATGATCACCTCTGCAATAGACCCAGCAGAGGAAAAGAAGAGTTGTCACATTAACTCAGTCATTTCAAGCCTTTCAATCACTGCTTTGGGTTTTTCTTTTTTTCAAGCCACTACAACATTTTAAATCACCCTCCTCCACAATAGCCTGAATGGTAAATTGCCTTATAGCCCTGTATTTTCTTGATCCATGAAGTGAGTTTTGGCTCCTCTGGGAGAATATGGACCACTCAACCAGCCACTTTGTATTAAAATATACAAAAGGCATCTAAACCACATGTGCTTTGGGAACATAGAAAGGATACACAGATCGCACTACCGCAATGTGATGTCTCACAAAGCAGAAAGCTATTAATATTTCAGTAGCCTCTTTGCAAAGGCTCTAAACAAAACCACAGAAAACACTGTCATGACAGATCCTTCTGGTGTCAATGGTCTCAATAAATTTTTTCCAGAACAGCTGAGAAAAGGAATTTTTGAACGACCCTTGAAACTGAAAATGTGTTGATAACTGGTACACATTTCACAGCAAGTCAGCCAAACGCTGCGTCTGTACAGGAAGAGGAAATCCAGCAATGATAACTTACATTTCTCAACTCCTTTCTAAAGATCTCAGGAAGCTCTACAGCCCTCACAGAAGAATTGTCACCCCCATTTTATATAGGAGTTATTTCTATATTTATCTTTAAAAAATAAAAGTTAAACTAACCAGTTCTGTGTTGGTCTACTTTACATGCACTCTCTTTTGTACGTGTGTATATATCATATTTTCAAACCCATGTAACTTTTTAAAAAGTAGAAAGCACATTGCACAGACTTCTTCTGATACTACATTAACAGCAACACCCAAATTACTGGAGGAAATGTTATCATTTATGAGTCCTACTAAACAAAACCAAACGCAGTTCTAAACAAACAGGACAAGACTGGCCAGGACAATGCAGATCAAAGTCCCCACGCTGAATTGAACTTGCTGCCGAACAGGATGGACGCTACTGGAAATGAAAGTGTCTTCCACTAGGAAGACGAGAGGTTCTTGACCAGCTTCGAGAACTCCCAGAGACCAACAGGAGCAGCAAAGTATGAGAAAAAAAACCCAACGCTACTTTGCCGAAATTCCACTTCCTCTGGGGTGCGATGTGGGAAGGGGCAGTAATTACTCTCTGCAAGAACTTACACTAGCAGGGGACCTGCTAACTGTCTTTAATTACTGGACTCTCCAGGACAGGGCAGCAAGTGTTTACATCCGTAGCTAGTAATTACAGCTAGTTCCCCCTCTGCCCGGGAGGAACTGAGCAGCAAACTGCTTTGGGAACTGCAGGAAAAAAGATGAGCAGGGTGGGGGAGGAAAAAAAAAAAAAAAAAAAAAAAAAACACCCAAACCCCCCCCCCAAAAAAAAAAAAAAAAAAATTCAAACCTAGAAAGGAGGGGAAAAAAAAAAAAGAGAAACCAAGAAGAAACTCTACCCAGCAGCTTTGTTTTGGAACTCACCAATAGCGGCCCTGTCCCGGTCCCATTCATTGCCTGCTGCTGCAGAGGGCTCTTGCCTGGCTGCAGCTTTACTGGTTTGGCTCTGTTCAGACCCAGCACACTCAGCAGCTCAGTACGAGAGGGTATCTGCACCCGTATCGCGTTCCAGGGCTGCAGCCTTCCTGCCAAACTTGACGGAAGTCCCGCATGCAGTGGTGTGAGCTCCATTCAGGAAAATGTGCTGGTAATGCACGAAGACAGCGAAGCTCTAAATTCCTCATTAAAAGCCTTACCCAAAGCTCCCTGAAATCACTGGAAGACGCACGCTGATGCCAAGAGAGAAGTCTCTGCTTTGTAACAGAGGGATCGGGAAGACTGGGGAGAGAAACAATACTGAGGACCATGAAAACAAAAGGATTAACACCAACTCTTCCAAACCCTTGTCGCTCCCATATAATGCAAAGCTGGGCCCTCCTTTGCTTCTGACGTGCCCTGTGCTATTTGAAATCTTTACACAGACCCCAAGATGAGTTCCTCTCCTTTGCAGCCCTCCTTGCTCCTCCCAGTCAATAATACCCTTTCTGCCAAAATTCCTTTCGGGCCCACAGAGAGCGCGGAGGCTCATAAAACAGGATCTGAATCTTCTGCAGCAGAGAGAAAACCATTAGATAATTGGCTAATCCAGACTAAGACACGGTCTGTAAATGCAGGACAAGAGTGAGACCTAACACCACCATCATCTGGATTGTTACAAACATGTGGGTGTGTGTTTACACCCATGAAACCGGGCTACAGCACCCTGAGTAAAGGCCCACACCAAGTGACTGGTACCAGTGCTGTTTATCTGGTGTTAGACCAGTGTAAACTGCAGACAGCTTTAACACTTACGGGCAGGTCCGTGCTGCTCAAGGCACTGGCCGCTGTCAGTGGCACTCTGTCCCTGCAGCTGCCCCATGGTCACAAGAAGCTAACCC